CGATTCTGCCTTTTACACCTTTCTTCTCCTCCTCCTCTCCCCATATCGAAAAGTTATTGGCCAGTTACGAAGACTTTTTCGAACGAAAAATTCTTGCCTCGCTTCTCAACGTTCAACCAATGATGACATTGATGACAAAGATAGATATATTTTGGGGAGGGGGCACCACGATCATTCGTGAAAGTTCGATCCAAAACTTCGTGGTTCGATTTAATTTTTATTTTCGATCGAGGGAGAGTATTAATTCGTTCGTTCGAGTCGAGGAAAAAAAAAAAAGAAGAAAGGAGGGATGTTTAAAATTAGGGGTGCAATTCGGTTCCGACCTTGGAATATAAACCTTGGATGGACTACGACGTGTCTCTCAGTTTGTCCCTTTCTATTTTTTTTTTTTTTTAATCGAAATCCTGTTACAACATCTGAAGCTGAAATTGAACTTAAATTGGAACATTAATAGGTGGAATTGTAGAACGGAGACGCGAAACTCGGTCAATCCGCTCCTCGATCAATTATCGTTTTTCACCGAGCTACGAGGATTATGCGGACCGATGCAGAACTTTTTTCTTTTCTTTTTTTTTTTTTTTTTTTATGAAAAATCAATAACGAAACCCTAATTACGATAATTAAAAAGTTGAGAGATCTTCTCAATTCGTTCTTTAAAAAAAAAAAAAAAAAAAAAAAAAAAGGGAAAGTATATCATCGTCAAAATTTATAATACGTGTAATGAAATTAATCGTGAGCACCGAATCGATCGATTAAGATAATTTTCGATAATTGGAAATTTCGCCGAGGGATGAGAATTGCGAGTTTAATTTATTTATTTATCAACAAGAGGAGTCCGAGACGGAGATAAAAAAGCTCGTTGGATAAAGGGCGTAAGAGGAAAATAAAGTTTCGCGGCCATTATCGTCGCCGTCTATATTTAATCGGGTCGCTGCGGGTACAATAAAATTGGCCCGATCGATTTTCCATTAATCGGCCATTAGTATGCAATAGCTAGTTTGCCCGTAGTTGTACGAGAAATGACTTTGGTCTCGTGAGATAATAATAAGGCGGCAATAGTCCCGCGAGAACGTTTCACTCTATAAACCGTGTGTGTATCCACTGACCTTTACTAGAGAGTGTTCTTTATCCGTCGAATAATAGGTCGTATAATCCGACGTATTTGTCTTATTACCTCGAAATTGCGAAAACGCCTTTGCACGCTCGTTCCTCAATTGCCCTCTTCCTTCTTTCGCCTCGCTGCCGACCTTCCCACCATTCTAAAAAAAAAACAAACAAACAAACCGTTTTAAATTCTTGAAAAATAACGTATTCGAGCCACGCTATAATAAATTTTATCACGATCTGTTACTAAATCTAGATTTTCTCGATGTTTTGTGATTGTTTTTGTTTTTTTTTTTTTTAATTCTTGGAAAGTATCGAATCGTTCGGAAAGTATTTTTCGTTTCTTCACACGAGTGTCGCTAGTCGAACATTTATCCAGCCAACTTCGTTATAAACCGTGTTGCTCGGAAAGTAATTTCGTTTCTTCACACGAGTGTCGCTAGTCGAACGTTTATCCAGCCAACTTCATTCTAAACCATGTTGCTCGGAAAGTAATTTCGTTTCTTCACACGAGTGTCGCTAGTCGAACGTTTATCCAGCCAACTTCGTTCTAAACCATGTTGCTCGGAAAGTAATTTCGTTTCTTCACACGAGTGTCGCTAGTCGAACGTTTATCCAGCCAACTTCGTTCTAAACCGTGTTGTTATCGTACATTTTGAGAGTTGGAATTTCAGAAAGTTGATTTATTTATAAGAAAAATTCGTTCGATTCTGTGCGATTGCGTTTTTCGTGCGTGATAATAAAGATGCAAGAGGAGCATTTTCGGTATATTTTATTTTTTTATTACTGAAAAGATAAAAATTCTGTTTAGATAAGAAAAAAATTACGCGAAATCTATGGAGAAGGTGTATTAACGGTACGTCAGTGTTAAAAACTGGTTTTCAAAATTTCGTTCCGACAATTTCGACGTTAAAAATGTGCCACGAACAATAACTCGAGAAATTACGAGATTGAATTTGTCGAATTCGACTTGGTGTTTCATTATCGTGAAAAAAAACGAAATTACATTTCGAACAACTCAATTGTTAATCGTCGCATAAAGTGGATCGTACGTGAGATAAAATGAATAATTCGCATGGAAAGATTGATTAATTTCGCACACGAGGAAGAATGGAAGAAAATATTTAATACGTCGAGGATGGCGTGCCAGGAAATTCGAGAAAATTGAAACATCCAAAACTCGCCTAAATGCTCGACCTATACCCGTGTTGACATTTACTACTACCCGCTCCTCATTGTCAGGGATAACTGTTCTCACGTTTTTGGCAATTTTCCAGAGCTCGTTCGAGCTCGTTCCAACTCGCTCTTTGCAAATCACCCCGTGGCCAACGTGTTAAATAGTTATGCGAGACAAATTGCTCGACACAATACACCTCCTCGTTGTCCATGAAGAAATGATAACCGGATTAAATCGATCCGGTTATTCCTTTCTTTTTCTCTCTCTCTCTCTCTCTCTCTTTCCCTGTTGCTTTCTTTCACGATTCGGAATATAAGATATTGTTCCTCTCTCAAAGAAATGTTTCGACTCCTACGAAAAAAGAAAAACATAACAAAATAACGAGAAGAAGCGAGTTTTATATATAAAATATTTACGAGAACGGTGACGCAAGTTTTTTAATTCGTCGTCGAGTCTTCCTCGTGTGTATATATGTGTGTGTGTGTAATGTTATGAAAAACAGCGGAAGCCTCGGTATAACGCGTCACGTGGATGGAAGGAGAGAAGGGAATTTACATTTTCTACGCGTGAAGCTGCGCCCAACTTTGTACATGAATAATTGAAACGTGTCATGAATCAACTGATTTCAATTTCAAAAACATCCAACCCCTTACGCGCGCGCGCGTACAATTTCACGTTGAACGTTTAACATGCAACGCGTACGAAGCGACGGGGCAAAAAGATGGATTAAAAAAGGCAAGGAATAAAAATAAAAAAAAAAAGAGAAAGAAGAAGAAGGAAGAAAAATGGAAGATCTGGTGTTTTAGTTGCAAGAGAAAAATTTAAAAAGTTAAAACAAAAGGTTGGAATTACAAAATTCATTCTCTTGATGCAAAATATATTTCAATAATATATAAATTTCTACTTCGAACGAAACGTTATTGTCTCCACCGCGTTGCACTTAATTAGAACGAAACCCCGATTAATTTCAAGTTACCGACCGAAGAAAATCTGTTTATCCGATCGGGTAAAAAATTTAATCTAACACGTGAATACGAATACGAATATGATAGAAAGAATCTTCGCGAGTTTATTCGAGAAGTGATTCGTTCTTCGTATTTAATAGTTTAACGATAAATTGCGTAATAATATTTCAATCATAATAATAATACTTGGCGAGAAAGAGAATCTTGAGATGAAAGAATTGATAAATCTTAGTCATGGCTAGCGACTCGACATTTGCTCGACCGGTCAAATTTTGCATTCGTCGGCAAAAAAGTCACGAGCTCTCCAACTTCAATTTCCATTGGTCGAGAGCGTTTCCAGCCAACTAGTTTCGCAACATTTGTTCCTCGACTTCGATTCGATTCGAAAGTATCGTTTCACAAGGGTGAAGTTTCGACGAGGAGAGAAAACAATCGCGAGCAATAACGCGGAAAATGTTTCTTTTTTTTTTCCCCTCGTAAACTTCGGACGATTTCATTCGTGAAATCGACTCGATCTTCTTCTCTCTTTTTCCTTTTTTTTTTTTTTTTATTTTGAATAGAGTTTACGCAGGTCGAGTTGTCATCTCGCTCAACGAGAAAGAGAGAAAGAAAGAGAGAGAGAATTCGTTTCACTTCGCTGTATTGGAAAAGCGCGGTGGCGTATCCCGTTCGCGAAGTTGAGAAACAGGAGGAGAAAGGGAAGAAGAGGATCCTTTTTGAAACGAATCAAGGACACCACTTTACGGGAGCACAATCTTCAACCGAATCTTCAAGTCTCCCTTTTTCCTCGTGATTTAAATGATAGTCGAGGAAGGAAGAATTGTTTCGAGAAAACGTTATTCGCCTCCCCATCGAAACTCGTTTCGCTTCCGCTTCGTACCTTCAACGGAAGTTAAAAACGGACGTATCTTGATTTCGAATGTTCCGCTTCAAGCTTGTTCTTGGCACGAGGATGTTTATGGAAATGTCGTATCTTTGCATTTAACATAAGATACGAAAGTTGAAAAATGGAGGATGGAAATACGCTTCTTCTTACGAGTAATCTTGACAAACAATCTTCCACATATATATATATATATATTAATCCCTATATTTCGCCGTTATGATCGATTGTTTTATTCGATAAATGAATTGTTATATTATTAATTCGTTAGCATCGCGTAACCAATAAATCATTCTTTATCCAAATAATCGATCTTTTTAAGCCTCGACAGAGAATTGAACGCGATAATAGAGTCTCGGATTCGAAGAAAATTATTCTAAAATTATTCTACGGAAAGAGAGGGAGAGAGAGAGAGCTATCGAGTCTCGTTAAATCGATGAGTTTGCACAAGCATGGGTTGACCAATAATTTTTGAGCGGGATAACAAAATTCCATCCATCGGTGACATAATTTCATCGCGGTACGGAACGGTGGTACATTTATGGGAATTTTAATGGTCAATTGATCCTAAAATTGTCAAAGGAGAACGTGCAAACTCGACGTAATCGCGTCGATAAATTTCACGACAAAACGACGAATCTATCACGGATCCCATATCGCGGTTCGTATTCGAATTCGATTTTCGTGGAGGGCTTGTAATTTTTCGCTCGAACGTAAGATATTTATTTAATCGGTGAAAATTATACGGGTCATTCCCTATCGAATTTTCGTAACCGTCGGTAAAATTATTTTATGCGGAGGAACGTTGGAACGAGATGGAAAAATTATTTTCGTTGTTTCATTGTGGTAAATAGAAGAGGTGAACTGAAAGTGCAGAAAATTAAGAAACAAATTTTCTTTGTTACTTAGGAACACGTGGAAGAGTATCTTTTTTTAATAATATCGTATCATCGATTTCAATCAAATTTCTATTCTTCACTTTCTAAATTTAATATTCATTTGTTCTGAATTAACAGTTATGATTAATGATTAATCCAATTTCGAGTATTCACTTGACCTAACCTAAAGTTTTTCTATAAAAACATACATGTATCATTGGATTTCCATACGATATAGTTTACCTATATCACCTAACCTAACCCAACCTAATCTAATCTAACATTCATACAAAATATACATCTCTTTTTTTAAAGACACGTTGTTCAACAATTGCAAATGAATAGAATTGCTCACAGTTGTAAATATGTTAAGAAGATTGATAAAATATTTCGTGTCGCGCAATTAACAGAGAAAAGTGGTTTCAATTTTTTTTTCTTTCTTTCTTTCTTTCTTTATTTTTATTTTCGACGCATAACTGTCAAATAATTCTGCTCGGTTTAATGGGATTATCACGAATAACGCGAATTGGACGCACGTTCTATGACCTTGGAAAAAAAAAAAATCAATTTCCGCGATACGAAGAAATCACGAAATTTGACGGTTGACGGTTTTGTGACAACCGGGCGTTAAATGGTGACAGAATCTCTGACATTTCTCGATCATGTCTCTCCCTCTCTCTTTTTCTCTCCCTTTCCCTCTGTCTCTCCCTCACCTTTTCCCTCTGTCTCTCCCTCTCCTTTTCCCTCTGTCTCTCCCTCTCCCTCTTCTTCTATCTCTCCCTATGTCTCTCCCTCAGTCTCTCCCTCTGTCTCTCCCTCTGTCTCTCCCTCTGTCTCTCCCTCTGTCTCTTCCTCTCCCTCTCCCTCTGTCTCTCCTTTTGTCTCTGTCTCTCTCTCTCTCCCTCTCTCTTTCTCCCTCTATCCCTCCTATTTCTTCCTCTGTCTCTCCCTCAGGCTCTCAGTTTCTACCTCTGTCTCTCCCTCAGTCTCTCAGTTTCTACCTCTGTCTCTCCCTCAGTCTCTCAGTTTCTACCTCTGTCTCTCCCTCAGTCTCTCCCTCTGTTTCTCCCTCTGTCTCTCCCTCTGTCTCTCCCTTTGTCTCTGTCTCTCTCTCTCCCTCTCTCTTTCTCCCTCTATCCTTCCTTCTATTTCTTCCTCTGTCTCTCCCTCAGTCTCTCAGTTTCTACCTCTGTCTCTCCCTCAGTCTCTCCCTCTGT